GAGAAAGGTTAGATCACAAAAGAATTAACCTAGAAAGGAACACACACGCACAGGAAATCAATGTGGTCAATGCCCTGTATAGCTATCCTTATCTCAACCAGCAAAACCCCTTGTTCCTTCCTATTATTGCTTATTACTCTCTCTACAACAAAATTAGAAATAAGGGCAAATATAGTTTCTGCTGGGTATTGAGGGGGTGGGGGGGAGAAGGAGGGGGTGGAGTGGGTGGTAAGGGAGGGGGTGGGGGCAGGGGGGAGAAATGACCCAAGCCTTGTATGCACATATGAATAATAAAATTAAAAAAAAAAAGAAATCTCATATTCACTTTTACAATAGTTCTGGAGTAATAAAAACTATTAGTATTGCTACTTTGTTAATCAAAAATTTTTTAAATTGCATTTAATCTCATTTACCCACCCTCAATTACTTACATTATTGTACTATGTTCTCCAAGTCAAATCATATGACAATACATATTATTTCTTTCTTTGCCCTCATTTCATTTTAGTTTGCAGGTAGCAAGATATTAATGCTCACCATAAATTCTGCTGTTGATGTTTCTGTAATCATTCTGTTTGTTGAAACTTGTTTTTCTACTAGATTTTTCTTGAGAAAAAGACTCATGGAAGTGCATTCCTTAAATTCTTACATACACTAACACTGCTAACACTTGGTCTGTGATCTTAAAGTCACAGATTTTAAAATTAAAATACTTGGCTTATACTTACTTTCACTGAGTATCATAAGTGCATTATTTCATTTTCTTCTGGACTAAAATGTTGGAATAGTCTAACTATAGGCTAATTTTCTTTTCCTTATAAGACATAGTCTTCTTTTTAAGATGCAAAGGATTTTTTCTCTTTACTTTTATATAAAGCCCAGTAACTTTGTTAGAATTATTATTGGCATTGACCATTCTTGGTCAATAGTGTCAAATATCCAGGGTGCTCTTGCAAAATGTCATTGCCTACTTTTTATATTAGGACTGTTTCTTTTTTATAGCTTTTTTTAGAATTTTCATTAGCAAACATCAGTTGTGTTTTCTGAATATGCTTTCATTGTACCTTGGTGAAGTTTGTCCCTACAATCTCTCTCATTCATCTCCCATCCCCTTTAAAATGATTACAAAAGGTTTTGTTCTTCTCTTTCATGGATATATATAAAGTACATCAGCCACATTCACCCTCCTTCATCTCCTCCATTACCCTCCCCTTCCCACAGGCACCCACTCCCTCACAAGACCTAGTTAGTAGTCTTTCATTCATTTTTAATTCCAAAGTCAGGGTTCAAAGAGGTTTCTCCAAGTATCTCTGCTGTGAATATACTGTATTTTGGTCAGTTCAGCCCTCTTGATTACTCTCCCTTCCCCTTTCCCTCCTACTCATTATTATTCAAAAACTTTAATATTTGATGTGCTTCATTACTTTAGATTTCTTCTATACTTTGGCTATTTGTGGCCTAGCTATAATGTGTTTCTCCTTTTCTCAAATCCTATTAACCTCTTTATTTCCTCTTCAGTGTTTAAAATTTCATCTTCTTCCCCTTTGGATTCTCTTCTAAACTCACTTCCTATTATATTTATTTGATCTTGTCTTTCTATTAGGCTAGTTTCTATTGCTGAAATTTTTTTCTTTTATCTGTATTTTTTTCCTGATTTCAATTCTATTTTCTTATTTCTGAGGTTACTTATGAACTTTTCTAGCTCTGTTTTATATTGTTCTTTTAAGTCTTTTATCATGTTCTTAAAGTTTTTTGCTCATTTTGAAATACTAGGCCAAATTTTTTATCTAATTTTTGAGTATGTTTTATTTTCTTAGGATAACTTTACGAACTATATCACCTTTATAGATTTTTTGTTGTTCATTTTTATAAGAAATAAGTTTTACCAATCCTTAGGAACTGTAGGGCTTTTCTGACTTCACAGACCTATTTCCTTTAGTTTTCATGTATGCCCAAAAGACCAATTTAGCTAGACTTGTGGGATTTCCTTACTTATTTCCTCTCTCCCATCTTGGTCTAGACCTTTTTCATATGTGTTGTCATTATTCTGTTTGAATCCCACTCCCATATTTTCTGTCTCATTTTGAGTTTCTGTTCTAGAAGCAGACCTAATGTATCAGTTTTGAGAATTCAGCTTCACTGGGTTCTTCAGTCTTTCCTATCACAGAACCCTTGCAGTCAGTGGCTATTGGAAAGAAGAAAATCCCTTCCAATTTAGCAGCTATTGTCTGATTGGCTGTGATGCCTTCCAAGAAACACTGCCTGGTATTTTGTGGTCTCATATTTTCAGGCCCATCAGATACTTCCCTTGCTCCCTCTACTGTCACACACAGATGAGACTACTATGCTGGTCTTGTGCCTCATGGTGGTTTGTCATTAGCCTTTTCTTTCTTATTGTAGATGTTATTCATGGATTTTAAGTTTCACTATCTATTTTATATATTTGTTTTTTTGTGTAGATTCATATTCAAAACTATTGCCCCTAACTAAATTTTATTTTATTTTATGAAGCACTCTCTTTGCTGATCTCCCTAAAGAGCTTTATAAACAATGGCAGAAGTAAATTTACCAATTCATTCATACTTCAGCTAACAAGAAAGTTCACGTAGGTGATTTATGTGTGTGTGTGTTGTTCAAGAATTAGTGAAAATTGTAACCTTCACAGATCACTGAGTTGGCACAGATTTGGTCTTATCATTTTATAATTATGTGCATTATACCACCATACCTATTATACCAATATCTAATGCACATTGTAAAACTATAAATACTGTAAGACATGTATCATGAGGGGTATTAATGATAACTATTATTTAACAGGAATGCTCAATTAAGAGGGCCATTCCTATTGCTAGGAAGTGATTTTGCTGAGACTTAGACACATGACTAAAATAAATAATTCCCTAATTCTCCATAAATTTATAGTAAGTGTACAGAACACTAATTTTTTTTTTCTTTTTTTTTCCTTTTTGGCAGTTTGGGAAATTATGCATCACTTCATGGACAAATATACTGTAAACCTCACTTTAAACAACTTTTTAAATCAAAAGGGAATTATGATGAAGGTTTTGGACACAAACAGCATAAAGATCGATGGAACTGCAAAAATCAAAACAGCTTAGTGGACTTTATTCCCAATGCAGACCCAAATGTGCACAAAAACACTGCAACAGATCCCCCATTACTTGGAGATCTTACTAAACATTTGGATGTTGATGACATGGAGTGGCAAAAAGATGACTTGAGAAAATTGAGGGAGAGAGGAAAGTTAAAAATCACTTGGCCTCCTTGCAAGGAGATGCCAAAGAAAAACTTCCTCCTGGAGGAAGAACTCAAAATGAATAAACCTAAATGGCCACCTGAAGTGGCAAGCCCTATATCCTCTGAATTTAAAAGTAAACTGCTGATAGAACAGGTTGAAACTCCAGAAAATAAAGGACAAGAACAAGATAACCTTTCTTTCCTACAGCCATATCTTCAGTCTACCCATGTGTGTCAGAAAGAGGATGTTACAGGTATCAAAGAAATGAAAATGTATGAATCAAGAAAAGATGAGAAAAAGGAAGGAAATAAGAATGTGCAAGATAAGCTGAATGAGGCTGAAGATGTAAAAAGTAAGAGAAGAAGTGAAGTGGATCTTAATGACAGCGATATGGTTGTGCAGAGTGATGAAAAGGAGAAAAATGAAAAAAATTGTGAACCTGATGATGCAGAAGTTTCACAGGTTACTAACACTGATGAGCAAGTGGTGCAAGGAAATCATAAAGAGAATTTGAATAAGAATAATAATAACAATTATATAGCAGTTTCATATCTGAATAATTGCAGGCAGAAGACATCTATTTTAGAATTTCCTCATCTATTACCACTGTCAAGTGAAGTAAACTACACTGGGCGCAAATACCAAATTAAAAAGCTAGAGAACACATCTAGAATCTCAGAGTTGCTTGGTATATTTGAATCTGAAAAAACATATCCAACGAATCGACTGGCTATGGTTCTGGACAAAGAGGCTGACAGAGCAACCGCTGGCGGTCCTGTGCAGTCGGCTCCAGACCCAGCCCTCCAGGGGGAGTTAATAGTAATGGGGGAAAACTCCACAGTCCCTTCTGAAGAAAATCTCTTCAACATTAAAGGAAACCATTCGATTAACAAAAATTTACGCTTTTTCTTTTCTAACACTGTGAAAATCACTGCTTTTTCCAAGAAAAATGAGGACATTTTTGAGTGTGATTTAATCAATTCTGTAAATCAACTTAAAAATATGCCTTGTTTATATTTAAGACAACTTGGAAAGGACATCAAACACTGGTGCAGTGAAACAACAGGAGCATCCCACAGTGAAGGAAACACAGGTTTGGGTGCTCTGAGTCATGAATATGCAGCTCAGTCTTCCTTTCCCAGTATGGGGGGCCAGGCTGAACAACTGACTGTGGAAGAACAGATTAAAAGGAACAGGAGCTACAGTGACCCTGAGTGAAACATATGGCCACTTGCAGACACATGCAGGCACTGGAGAGATACTAATGCTCTGAAATAAGACTTTAGGTACTTTGATAATCTTTTGTTGAAGTTGACATAAATCTAATGTTCAAAAATCTCATGTCTTTCACAATGAAATATTTCTCGTATTTCACTGCATAATTCTTTTTCATAATTCATTTGAATCTATGTTTGTCCCGAATAGAATGAAGAAGTGAAACAACATGACTATGTTCTCCTCTCAAGTGGCACTTACCTGTGTTATTCTCATTTTCTATTTAACATCATGGGTGAGAGTCTATGCTTCTGAGATTTATCACAATTCTTATACCTTCTCTATAATTCCTGCTTCAATAAAATTGAATTGTCTGTGGTGCAAACAAATATTCTTCTCTGATATTTTTCCATGCTATGCCTTGTCATAATAAGTATTAGGTTTTCAACATTTAAAAAATATTTCTCTTGGGGCAAGTATTTACCTTCCCACACACACATGCACACATGCAAAAATTAAATGAAAAAGTGAAATAGTAAACCAAAGCCACGGCACTGGTATGAAATGCAAAGCGCTCACACTCATTTTTTGCTCTGTGTTTTAAAGAGATGAGGGTTATTATGAGTCTTTCAGCAATTACCTATATTAAGCTATCATGGGCTATGTCTATAAATATTTAATAAAAATATCAAATTTTCTCCAGAATAATGTAGAGTCCAAATGTGTCAAATTTTTAAAAATCATATTTGATAAACATTGTTTTCCTGTTATAAAAACATTCTTTTGAAAATTTGACTTCTGAATTATCTGTTGATTTTGCCTTTCCTCAAATACATGTGATGACTCTGAGCGACAAAAACATGAATATAAATCAGTTACTTTGCATAAATTTGGACTGTACATGTATGAAACAGGCCTTATTCAATATTCTCCTACATAAACACAAATCATTAACTTTCTATAAATAGTAAACTGAAATACAGTGCTGGACACTATTTCTTTTTAGGAAGTCTAACAAATTCCCTCTAGCTAACATGTTCTCAACAAATATCTAAGACATACATTGTATTAGTTCACCAAGGCTGCCACAACGAAATACCACATAGTGGATGACTTAAACAATAAAAATTTATTTTCTCATAGTTGCTAAGTTTCTCAAGTTCAACGTGGAGGCAGTGTTAGTTCTTCCTCAGGGCTCTCTCCTTGGTTTCTGAGTGGCTGTTTTCTCACTGTGGTCTTCACACACTCTTTCCTGATGTCTCTTCCTCTTTTTTGAAGGACACAGGTCATATTGGATTAAGGACAACCCATATGACTTTGTTTAGCCTTTATTACTTCCTTAAATACTCCATTTCCAAATACAGGCACGTTGAGTATTGGTACTTCAACAAAAAGTTTGTAAGGATATAATTCAGTTCATAACATACATTTTTATACAATACAATAGAATACTGTAAAAGTCTGCCAAGAAAGTGGCAAGTATGGCTACAACAGCAAGTTTTTTGTTTAAATTGAATTATTACATTTTGCACTACTCTTCATGTATTCTTAATGACAGCATTATTTCTACAATCATTTATGCTAACACAAAAGTTTCTATAAGGAAGAAATAATTTATGAAAACTCATGTCATAATATCCTGAAGTATAGTTCCTTAATGTCAGTGATCCTTTTATAAAAGTTACTTTTGCTTTGCAAAAATCCTCTCTTATTAATTGGGACTTTGCCCAATTAATCTTGGTTACCCAGTCTTCTGTTCAATTATGTTAAAGCTGAATATTAAAACAAGCTAATATATACAACAGGGAAAACAACAAAAATATTAATTCTTCTTCTGTTTGCTTTTCACTTAAAAATGAAGCATTTAAAAAAATCTAAGTTAGAAATTGCATTTTATTAAACTTACTGGATGTTTCTCCTTTTCTGAATATAGTAGTTTATAAAACACAAATATGTTTTAAAAATCAAACATAGTTTCATTTAGTAATGGGTTCACTAGCATTAAAAAAATCTTCCAGCTAAATAGCAAGCCTTTGATAATAGGCTTTTTACAGTCAGCGTGTTATTTTGTTAAGGCTGTCAAATAATAGTACAACATACTAAGTGACTAAAACAACAGGGACTTATTTTCTCATAACTCTGGAGGCTAGCAAAGTCCAAGATGAAGGTGTCCACAAATTTGGTGTCTTCTGAGGTCTTCCTCCCTGGCTTATAGACAACCATCTTTTCCCTATGTCTTCATATCGTCTTCCCCTTGCCTGTATAATTTTCATCTTACAATGACACCAGTTATACTAGATTAATTCCAACCCTAATGATTTCATTTCATATCAATTATCTCTTTAAAGACCCTATCTCTAATTAAGTCATATTCTAAGGTACTGTGCCTTAAATCTTCAACATATAAGGGGACATGATTAAGTTCCTAACAGGCAAAGTTAATTAATCATTAAATTTTTTCTATTATTATTCATTTATTCACATGTGCGTACATTGTTTGGGTCATTTCTCTCCCCTGTCGCCCTCCCCTCCCTTCTCCCCACCTCCCCCCTCGCTTCCAGGCAGAACCTGTTCTGCGCTTTTCTCCAGTTCAGTTGAAGAGTAGAAATAAGCAATAATAAGAAAGACATAGCGGTTTTGCTAGTTGAGATAGCTATACAGAGAGATTCCAAATGCCACTAATATTAATGAAGCAACTTCTCAGCAATTTTCACTTGGCATTTATACCACGGAACTATATAATATATAAATTTATGCTACAAAAGTTAATGTTTACAGGAAAAACTCTCTTAAAAAGAATCAAATGGGTGCATAATAGACCAAATGCACTTCCAGAGAAGATTGTGTGATGGCAGACTTTGCCATTTAAGGGGTTTTTTATTAATTGAAGACAAGGTCTTCCAATGAATCTTGTAAAAGATGTCTTATCTTCTATGAAATTGTGCTTGTCTTTTGCTACATTATCTTTTGCAACTTCCACACAATCAATTTCTGTGACATATTTTAGGCTCTGAGCAACACATTCTCTGGATTGAAGCAATGGTTTTCCCCCAATGCAGTAAAACTGAAGAATGCAAACTTTCCACCCATTCCCAAGTGTACAACTGATGTGTACATCTGGCATCTCTCCTCCAGACTAACAATTTTCTGCATACATCTCTAGAGTAATTTCTTAAAGCACATTAACTTTTCAAGGAAATGGAAGCTAGAAAACAATACTTTCTCTGCTGTATTTTGTTAACTACTGGCTTCTACTGGTTACTGTCCAATTGTAGAAGAGGAAAGTATTCCCAATGCCAAGAAAATGAACTTTAAAAAGATAATCACATATGTTGAAGTAAAAGAGAAGTACAATATTTTTTTTCTCTCTCTCTAGAAATGCTACTTAGAACCAAGAATGATTTCCAAATCTAATGTAAAAATTTTGAAATCCGTAGGTATTAATGATAATGTGAAATCTTATATTCAAAAAATTAAATTCACATAAACATCAGAAACAGTCTATAAACATGAATGCTCAGATTCAAAATAAAATCCCTGAGAACATTTTAGAGTTGCCGAAGAATCCTATTTCTCAATCTCTTGGAAACTAACTTAATAGAAGATAAGAAATACTTTTGGATAAATATAATCTAAAAGTAATTTAACCTCAGCATTGACGAGGCCAATTTAAGCTACCTACCAAGGGTCCATTTGCTGTGAATGTTTTCCCCTAAATTATGATAAGAATTTAAAAACTATAGATGTTTGTGTGCAAATGAAGTGGCAGGGAAAAAGTAATAGCAGAGTACCTAAGGGTTGCCATTACCCTTTAACACAGCACCTTTTGTAGAAAACAAAATCAATAGAGAATGGATAGAAAGCCTGACGAATAAACACTGGGGCATCATCCATCAGCAGGCATTCCTGAACACTTACAGAGCCTCCGGTATGTGTAGGCAGACTGAATAAGAAAAAAAAAATAGGTAAGTCATAGTATCTCCAATACAGAGCTCTCAGACTATCGAAAATTAAATAAAATAAGCAATTACATGGTCGCATATGAATGTAAGAAACCCAGGAAAATGCATAACCACAAATTTTTGTTAAATTGGATGATGGAAGAATAAAAGTAAACAGAAAGAAAAAATGCTTGGGGTTTAAAGAAAGAGTCTTTGTTTTGTTATAACTCACTTAGTTATAGTTTTCTGACTGAACTGTGTGATGCGCAGCCAAGATTTCTCTTCACGAATGAAGGATTTACTTCCATAAATGCTAGGAATGCTGCCCACAGAAAACCCTTACCTCTTAGCTTCCTACCAGGATTGCTTTAGTTGACAAGAACTGTCTCTCCCGTGAGGACTGTATACAATTTGTGATCAATGGGAGAACAACTCAGCACAACCCTTAATGGTCACTCCAGGTCAAAACTCCACATAGGGTTGGCTGAGGCCTTGCTTGAGACTGCATCTCAGTCCATCTTCAGCTCAACCCTGCTGCTTTTCCATACATTTTACCCCTTGATATCAAGAGCACACCCTAATAAAGCTTCTTCATATTAGTTTCTAGTTCAGAATCTAGTTCTTGGAGAACACAGTCTATACTAGTTGGTGTTAGGCGTGGTCCAAGAAAGCAGATCTGGAATGATATTTTGGAGCTGAATTATTTTCTGCCTGACTGACAATGGGCACAAGGTGGCAGTGCAATTGTTAAAATTCTTAGCTGTAGTACACAGGGATAGCTATACTGGTTGAAGCAAATGTCTAGCTAGTACCATGTATAATAAATTTGAGATGATAGTGGAGTTAACAATTGCAAGGAACATGAACTTAGGTAGCCATTGTTAAACCCTATTGTTCTGGAGAAGATAATGTATAAAAAGCTGAGTATGATGAATCAACAATTAAGAGGTGAGTGCAATTTCATTCTAAGAAAAACTGAGCCCCATGGCAGGTTGAGGGAATTTTTTGAAAAAGAATGGGATCTAGATCATAGATGGAGTTAAACTGGCCAATGCAACAAAAAATACTGACACTCCTGAATACTCTGAGCCTTCACACCCTGCACAGGCAGTCCATTCCTCCTCATTAAGGGTCAGTGCCTACACTCTTACTCACAAATTTTGCAGAGGCTCTCCCCAGCCCAACTAGATCATTGTGTCTTTCTTGTCTGCCTCACTCAAGCATCAGTGAATCTGCTAGGTATTGTTTCTAGACCGTGCTTGGCAGGGACACCTCAGCTGTGACCGCTCTGCACTGGGTGAGTTTCATTCTCTTCTTGCAACTAATAGGCTTTTCCAAGCATGCTCTTCTCATAATGATGGCAGAAGTTAAGAGAAAAGAAGAAAAGATATTCTAAGCTCAGAATTGGCATGTCTTTGTTTAATGTTGTCTCATTCTAATGGTCTAAAAGTCTTATATTCAAAAAAATCAAAGCAAGAAATCACTGCAAAAGTACATGAATTCAGGGAGTTGTTAAGAATTAAGGCCATTAATGTAATTTAATGGACTAAATAGTCAAAGGAAAATATATGAGTTTTTACAAACAGGGCCTAGTTCTTCCTGCATAGTTGTCTTTTATCTATTTTATTATATGGTCGGGTTTTATCCCAAGGTACAATATAACATAAGCACATCCAAGGAAAAGGGTAGGCCAGGGTTACATAAGAAAGAAAGCAGTGTATGACTCTAGGTCATGATTAAGAACAG